CACGCGCTTCTACTCTTAGCACAATATCTCTGACTGCTGAAGAGACGACTACGAGCGAGCGAGTAGAGCTCTTCAGCGCTCAGCAGACGCTTTGGTCCGCGCCGCCAGCAGCCATGACGCCGCCAATAGCGTCAACGTCTCGCGAATCAGCAGCATACGTTGAATCGGCACAGATTCCATCAACGATGCCATTCACGTTCTCTCTCACGCCCGACCTGCCTCACTGCATACATCTACCTGAGGGCGGGATCGCTTATGCACTCGAAGCGCGGCTAGTGCCAACGCTCCGCCAGACGTCGAGCCCCGATGTGTTCAAGAGAGCACCAGTGCATCTCACCAGATACAGTCCACCAGGTCCATTGGCTAGCATCGTCGCATCCGCCGACGAAGAAATTTCCAATAGCCATCTAAATCTCCAGGCAGAGGGCAGCTCGAGCGCCAGCAAGCTCAGACCCCATACGTGGCGGCTCACAGAGCCGGTGCCCCTGTCTATTCAGCTGGCTCGTACTCTCTTCCGTCGCGCAGAGCCTATAGACATACGGATACGCATTCCGCCCCTACCTACCGGTGTGCAAAGCGAAAAGGCCTTGCGTCTAAGGGCCGTCGAAGCCACACTAGCGCGCGTAATTCACGTGCGCGACACGGGACGGCAGGAGGGCGATCAAAGTCACAAGCATCAGAAACAGAGAGCTGACGTAGCAGGAAGTCTGGGCACATGGAGAGCATCCGGAATAGACGAAGCACCGGGATATGCCTTGGCAGAGGATGTTTCCGGACCCTCATCCACCATCGCGCTTTCTGATCTCGACGACGAGGCGCTGGCTCCTGCAGCAGACCACAGCTGCCGCGTGGAAGCCTTGCTGGCCACATCGGGAAAGCTCTGCCGTTTCAATAGTAGCCGCCCGATCTTGCTACGCCTGACCCTGCATCCACCTTTCGCACGGGTCAATATGCCATTTCCACATCCCGATCACGATGCTCCGCATGGTGGTGCTGGATTTGGGGCTGGCAGAGGTGGCGGTGGTGGTTGCGAGAGCATCACGCAGGAGACTCTGGCGCATACAGTCACATTCATCGTCAGGGTTAAGGTCTCTATGCGCGGCGCACGTTCGGAAAGCAGAGACGTTGGCGTAGAGAAGGAGATCACTGTCATTCCGGGTGCTGCCGGAGCAGAAGCACCGGTGGAGGACGGAGCGGAGCCGCTTGAAGTTCCGCATGCTCGACCCACTGCGAACGAGAAGCATCCAGTGAGGGACGCAGAAGTAGCCCAAGTAGGCACAAGTGCTCGTGTCCTGGATCTGCCCTACGCTGCCGAAGGTGACTTGCCTTTCGAGTCATTCGATTCGGAAGAGGAGTACGACGGCTTTGAGGATATAGGGCGACGTCTGGACGAGGACAGCGATTCTGACGAGTCGGCCGATAGAACCGAAGCTGAACGGCTATTGGATGTTCTAGCGCAACCTAGCGGCTCCAGTGCGCATAGTAGCCTCAGGAGGAGTGCTCTACAAGCCATGGACGTCGCTGTGGCTACAAGACGGAATGAGCAGCACGCTGGAGAGCCACCGCCCAGTCTGCTAGAGAGTCAGCACGATCTGCAAGTGATTGATGACCTGGAAGTAGAGGTCGCTGGCGTAGGCCTAGCAATGCCGAGACATCACTCAGACCCTCGCTCTGGGGATGACGCAGACTCTTTACCGCCAGCATTTGGATCTGCCGCCATGCTCCCGCATCACGGTTCTGAGCCTGGTCCTCCACTCGATTCAGATCTAAGTGGCTACGCACCTCGCGACAATCTCGAAGTCCGCTCCGGAGCTAGACAGTCGCCCCAATCAGAATTGATCGAAGTGTCTGGACCACGCATGCCCGGACAATGGAACACTGGCGAGCTGCTGCAAGCCACAGTGGGCCAGACGTCTCCTTCGCCTCCACTTCTGCCGGAATGGTCAGAAGCACAGCATCATGGGAGGCTACAATCATTAGAGCCCTCTTATTCGCACTTGGCAGGTGAATCTGCTCGCGCCTTGCGACATGGCGTGGCGCAAAGCCACAGTCCTCCGAGCTTTGCATCATCCGTGGGTGCGACTGGCAGAGATTTGCCACGACCTCTTCCGCCCACCAACAATGGCACACCTCAACCGCCCCCGTACGTCGACGGTAGTCGCCCTGCTTCTTCGCGCGGCACTGCAGCCGGAGGCGGTATTCCGCCTTATGAAGTACCTCGCAGCATGCCGCGCCACCCTTCGGGCGTCCTTCCTCCAGGCGGAGAACGACACTCAGATTCAGCTGTGCACAACTCGTATGATTTGCGCTCTCGCAATACAGAGAATGATTCATCCGACGGTAGAAGTGTCCACCCTACCGAAGAGCTTTCTACGCATCCCGAGTATGAAGCGCACGCCTTGCCACCTGCGTACCCACTCGACGCAGATCAAGCTCCACCCGGTGTAGAGCACAGGGGACCGCCGCAAGGCTACGAGATGCTCGCGCAGCCACGGTCCAACGCTGCCCTGGACTCCCGGGTCATGGCTGACCACGCTGGGCGAGTTTCGGAGCATCCTCACCCGGATCATCGAGATGCTGATTTGCCTCGCACGACAGGCTATGGTCCACCTAGCTACGAAGCGTAGCAATCTTTCCTGGGCCTGATTCAGCCACAGGTCGACACGAAGTCTACTTTACCATGCGCTCCGATGAGACAGCAGAATCACCTTTTCGATACTGAGCACATCTATCAATTGTAAATCAAAACATTTCAGGCATTCTGGCGGGAAGTTGGCCTCGTTTGCGGATTGCGCGCCGTGTGAGTGGGAATGATGGGGGGTCCCCCATCGTGCGGCGAATTAGGGGTAGCGAGAGACGACGAAACGGGCGAGAGTGCTGAAGGGATGGAAAACAAATGATGCTACGTGGGGATCGAACAATGTACAGTAGGAGGGGGATCATGAGAGCCAAAAGTCTTGATTCGGGGAAACGTGTGGGAGCGTGGCGTAAGGAAGAGCGTGATTCGTGAGTGAACGGTGGAGCAGTGGGAGATGGAATTTACAAGTCCTGACGCTAAGGCATATGTGCCCTGCAGCGAGGTGAGGCTGTTCTTGGTGGACGTTTGCGAGGAAAAAAAATGGTCTCAGCGTGACTCGAGGCAAAATCCGACCAGAAGGGAGGGGGGAGAGAAAGGACCGGCACGACGATGAGATGTGGTCCGTGATGGAGGGCGTTGGCTCTCACTTGGAAAGCTTGAGCGTCACTTGATCTTGCTGATTCTTCTTTGGAGCCACCTTGCCGTGCTTCTTTGAGCTGATCTGCATGCCGTACTTTGTGTTGCGCCGAGAAGGCTCTGCTGACTTTTCCACGCCCACGAAGCTCAATCTGC